ACTTAAGAAATTGACTAATCACAGTCGCGCATTCTACTCATACTTGACCGTGATTGGCCAATTTCTTAAAGCTTAGGGCTTAAATCATCTATTGTAGACTGGGACTAACTCGCGTTGGTGAAACCGGGCCTTAGGGTTTCAATCTCTATTGTAGATGGGCACAAGAACCGACAATTTCTGATCTGACTTGAAACTTGGATCTTTATTCGTCGAATGGGATTGGCTCTTACCTTCAGATCTAACCAATCACGTCAAACTGCTACTTGCAAGCCATTCAGTTGACTCGGTCGTGGAATCATGGGATGTTTCCGTTGAGTCGGTTGAGTGTACATTGGTGTACATTTGTAAAACTGTATGTATACTCACAATTTGTTCACTCTCTTTCTAGTTTAGTGTACATTTCGTATATGGAACCTTGAATTGTAATTTTCCTTTGGAGTTGATCATATCGTTTTGCCCATCCCTTGTAGGTACTCTTGGAGGTCTTGGATAGGTTAGGAGAGTCAAATGCTATGACTTTAAACGTGAATGTACACAGGCGTATTCGGCGAGAATAGAGAAGGACCGAGCTTGATTTATATTTAGCTTTACATATCAATATAGCACAGCGCGTAGAATCCCGATAGAATCCGGGAAGAACTAAGACACGAAAGCGTGAAAATGTCAGACCCAGAACTCGAAGCGTTGCGACAGCAACGTCTGGCTCAATTGCAGGCTCAGTACAAGGTAAATTCAACGAGAACTTACGCAATTTTACACTGGAATTTTTTACTAATGTCTTGAAAACTATGGCTCGTCTACTTCACTGATTATTTTAACCCTCCTGGACTGCTAAAGTGCATAAGCCGTGTGATTTTACGGTCTATCGTTGTTCTAGGGTAACAATGCCAACGATAAACAAGCGATGGAAGAAAGGATGCAACAAATGGAAGAGATGAAGCATGTTATATTGACCCAAGTGTTGGATCAGTCAGCTAGAGCCAGACGTAAGTTGATACTAATATTTGTGTCACTCAAGTGGTATCGACAGTTTATAACATTGTATATTTGTGAGTAGTAAATACACTCTGCCTTGGAAAGCCTGAGAAGGGCAAAATGGTAGAGGAGATGCTTCTGAACATGGCACAGCGTGGACAATTACCTGGCAAACTTGGAGAGAAGCAACTGATCGACTTACTCGAAAATGTGAATCAACAGACGCAAAGGAAGACGACGGTCAAAGTTAATATAATTGTGTAATACAATCGTGCGCTTGGCAACACATGGCCGAGAATAACTATGAAATTTTCACATTCCAGTTCGATAGAAGAAGAGCAGCTATGGATTTTGACGACGATATGGATTTATAGCAGTTGTACAAGTTTTACATTCGGGATTGTCTAAATTAAACACGTTGCTCGTGGTTCACACTTGCAGTAAGTTACAAAAATTACAATATCCACTATTCTTTGCTTAGTTATGTTATTTTTACGCTGTTTTGAAATAAAAAAAGAAGTAACCAACACCAACGGAATGAATTTTGATAATTGAACGTAAGGATTGATCGTCATCATCGCTTACCTTCCAATTAAATATATTTGTAACAGCAGTAACCTAATGTCCTAGATGAAATATAGGTGTCTGAAACGGAACATCGTTTCTCTTGTTCCTCCATCATTTTCCAATCTCTTGTAAAACGAAAGTGCACGTCAAGTGAGAGTCGGTTCCTATACATACAGAGCTACGCATCACTTCTCTATAATAGTAGTAATAATAATATATTTGGAGAAATATTTACTCTTTTTTTACATATAAATACATTCAGCAAATGCACAATTATTTTCCATCCTAAAAAAGAAATCGCAATCACACCTGCGGTCTACACGATACAACAAACAACAGTTCCGCACAACTTGCGCATAATGCTAAATATTATCATTATCTTGTCCATACATATACAAAAACCAATGTTTAGTTTGACGTTTAATATGATTTTACAAACTATGTGAACAATCGTGTTTAATATACAAATTTTTGATATATATTACATTCTCTTTTTCGTTAAAGCTGTGTTAAAAGACAAATTTTTCCGAGTGTATACGTACTTGCTTAACTCGGTAGGTCGTATTGTCTCGAGGGATACACATAATTTTTTTTTTATATATACAACACGTAAAGGAAATCAGTGTCGCCGGTACAAAGTGGGTGAAAAATAATATATATGGAATGTCGAAAATATATGAATTATTGTATAAAAATTCTCACAATCTTAAAACTGCTTTGGCAAATTTTTGTTAAGAACATGTAGATACAACCAGAAGCACTTTTATACACTATACATAATGAAAAATGTGTCTGAGAATTCTATATATCTATTAATAGTACTTGTTCTTAATCGTTCTTCATGTGATACGTCCCAGTATTCTCTGAAAAAAAAATACATATATTTAGGGGAGAGCGCCTCAAGGTGGACAGGGCCCCAAGGTGGACACCATAGGAAAATTTCTGTGCATTAGTAGGCAGCACCGAATGTGTGATGTCGTTGTTATTAATTGCGAAGACGAAGTTTTTGAAGTCTCGAAGTGAATAGTCGTACGCGTTTCTTTACAGCACGAGTGTCATTAAATTTCTGTTGTAAAAATTTAGAGAAGTTTCTTTCTCAAGGTGTCAAAGTCATCGAAATTGACGATTTTGAAGTGGTAAATATCGTTGTAATTGTGTTTATGTATCATGCAATAATATTCCAAATGAATATGAATATTGCGTGTTAAAAAATTCTTTCACCAACGCTTAAAAAATTTTAAGGCGGACACTTTTTTGGCCCCAAGGGGATGTGTCAATGACCACTGTATATAATACCGTTTAGGTTCTTCTGTCGTTCAAAAGATGGGTGTCCACCCTAGGGCCCTCTCCCTTATATAATGACTATACAGGTATTATTTTTACGTAAAAATGAGTTTCGAGAGGAATGAAAATAATTACCATCTTCGTCGTCGTTTGCGTCTAATAAATCTGGACAACAAATGCCATAACATATCAACGACAGAAATCCAAACGGCAATCCAAGCAGCACCATCATCAGGATAGGATTGCCCTTCCACATCGAAGTCAGAACAGTTTTCACCTCGAACCACTTTCTATAACTACGTACTAGCCAATTGTTCCCGCCATATCGCTGAAAATGTATAAATACTTAGCAACGTGTTGTTTCAGTAGATGGAATAATTGGCGGGCACGAAAGGCACGCGTAAATACCGGAGCACTCTCGTTGCGAATCTGCTCTAGGAACAATTCTATCACGTATGGAGTCAGCTTCTCTGTTTCATCCTCGGGAATATGATGGTGATTGGTAGTTGTGTTTATCACAAGTAAACTCGGTATAGGTAGTGTCGTCATCGCTATACTGTTGACTAGATTGGGACTACCTATCCAACCGAACTGGAAATGACTGAGCACGACGATCATTTATTTTCAGCCCTACCGTCAAAACAATTGACTTTCTAATTAATGCAGAAACGTACTCGTGATACTTATTTCGTTTATTCTTGATCACAGATTCAACCATATCTCTGAATTCCAGCATATCGGGCGCGACCTCCTCCAGTTGGTTTTCCTCCACTACCGCTAAAACGAGATTCTTATTTGTTAGGAATAATTGATTTATGTTTCCTCTTGTTACTTTCGGGAATGTTGGAAAACGCTCCGCGTTCACCCACTTATAGAGCGTCTCGTTCACTTGTTCCGTGTTGCTCAAGTTGTGTCCTGCAGATTGAGATAAATCGGTGTGATACGGTGATAATCTCTCTTTTGTTTCCTTCTCTCGATTCGACTCACCGGTAAAATTGTAATGCAAATTTTCCTTGTACACGAACAACGCCGGAACATTGCCCACAGGCGCATGCTTATTCACAACGCTCGGGTGAGATTGAAAGAAAAATGCATGCGCTTGAAATACATTCGCAGTCTTGTAATAAAGTTCCTGCATTCATTAAATGCGTGTGAATTTGAATTTCAAGCCAGCCTTCGTAATAACGTGTACGTTGCGAGATTGCGAAAGGAGCTTACCCATAAGACTCCGGATTTGTCTCCTACGTATAAGAAATAGAGATCGCGATCTCTCTTTATGGTATCGAAACTCTGCGGTTTCGTTATCTCCTGCACGGGAGGGCCGCTTAGTCTTAAAGCGAATTTCACTATCTCTTCCCTCGTTCTATCGCCTTCGTATACGTACTTCTGCTCGCCCTTTAAACTACAGAACAAAGACCATTATCGTACCAGAGAGCCTAGTTTACGCCACACATTTTGTTCGCGCAGCCAGATCTGTGCCCTGACCTAAAGTAAGCCTTCCAAATGAAACGTTTACACCGCTTCCACCTATAATAATACTTTCGGCTCGAATACAGGTAACATAAGTAAATATTTAGTCCAAACGTGAACGCTTTCGGTTGAATGTTTTATCTCTTTATCTTTAAAGCTGAGCAATTTTAGGCCACCTGCGTTCACACGCGTTACACCGTCAGGGCGAGCGAAAGAGAGACCAGTACGGGAATTCTGTAACTTGCAGTCGATGCTTTTCAGTATCGTTAACTAGCGACAGCCAACGGCGAGGACGATCTTCGAAAAAGACGCAGATTTGCATTGGTTGTAAACTTCGATAGCAAGTTACAGAATTCCTGTACAGACCCAAGCCAGGTCGAGTCGTTCGCCAATTGTTCACGGGTACAAGGCGTAGGTAAGATACGACCTAAGCGCACGGTGTAAACCAGGCCAGTATTGCGGCGCGGCCGGTCCCAAGAAGGGCTTGTACTCACAATAGAATAGTGGGGAACCCCTTAATTTTGAACGCACTCGTTATACTGGTAAATCTAGTGCAATCCACTCGTCCCACTCGTACGGACGTAGCGTGCAAATGTTGAGCGACATGAGACCAGATCGGTTCCAGTCTTTTGCAGTGTGCGCACCACGGCGCGTACATCTGTGAAGAAGAAAAAAAACGGAAACGGTTGTGTACCTTCCAAATGCAGCCGATGCGTTTTCGCAAGAATCACAAGCGTACCATAACCAGCCACTGCCCATCCTTGTGCGCATCCAGAAATCTGCGAGAGATTACATATCGAGTGATGAATTGTCGAGACGATTGCAACGCGAAGCGGTAGTGTCTCTTACCTGTCGCTGAGCTCGAGTACCCGTGACCCTGCCGTATGCGTCAGAACCGCTGAAAAAATTAAAATGTAAGTGAACAGCTCGAGCGAAGACATACTCTTTTACTACTGCACGAGCGCGTGACCGCGTCGCGTCGTTCGAATCGAATTCAATTTGTTTGTCGGGGCATCGCGAGAAACCTTATATCCAGTTTTATTGGATTTTCCCCACAAATACAACAGTCCGGTTACTCCACTACAGGCGAGAAACGTGCACACAAATGTTTAAAGCCCGATCTACAATGTGTCCTCCGCGTCCAGAGGCATTTGACTTTGCAGCCAACAAGCGCGTTTGAAAAATTTGCGCGAGTTGATAAAACCGTATGACATTACACGTCGCACGATCGTGCACCGTCGGCAAACCATTCAAGCATATATCGATTTGCCTGAATAAAATAGAATGTTTCCCGTTGCGAAAAAAAAAACACATTGTAGACTACGACTTAAAACTCTGTACGCGGGCACGAGCCGACGACGCCTGGCGAACGGCAAGACTCGTGGTGATCGAACGAAAAGTCGTGCGAAATCCGTCCATTATCGATCAGCCGAAATTACGACGCGGAAAAAGCGATCGAGCCGAGTCGCCGAGACGTCGACCGCGTCTCGCGTGTGCACGCGCGAGGAAAGGGCGCGGGTGGTCCGCTCGACGCTCACCGTAGAGAAGCGCGACGAAGGAGAGCCGCGCGAGGGAAACCATTCCGTCGGTCGAGTCGAGACGCCGGGAAACGAGAGCCGAGCACCTTCTTCATCTGACCGCGCGGCAACACGGGCGCGACGCGCGAGACTGCATAATCGCCGACGCTCGCGAGCGGACGTGCAACACCCCGAGCCGACGCAGCGCGCCTCGCCGTCCCTTTAGCTCGTCACGCGGAACGATCGAGCGCTCTCCGTCCCATCGTCCCGACTGTCGCGCGCGACGCGCCGCCTCGCCTCCGTCGCACCCATCGTTAATTCCGCTACTGACCGGCCATACCCCCTTACCTGCACCTCCCTCGCACTTTTCGCTTTTAGCAGAGGACGGGGGCGTACTCGAGCCCTTGGAAAAAGAAGGAAGAGGAGTATCGAAGGGAGCTTTCCAGCGAGCGGCGCGAGTCGACACAAATGTCGTTCTGTCTTTATTATTCATTGAACGCGAAGGAAGACAGAACGACATTTGTGTCGACTTGTGTCGCTCGCTGGAAAGCTCCCAATATATCGAGCAGCTTACGATTACAGGGGGGGGGGGGGTGGCAAATAAAGAGCACTTTTTTGAGAGACTCGTACGTTTGAAACTTAAGGGAATGCTGGAGTGATTCTGCACTTTTGCACCTTTCTAACCTAAAAACTGTCAGTTCACGGAAACATTTGTGTAATATACAAATTAAATGGCTTACGTGTACAGATCGAAAGCAGCTTGCTATTCCGG